AAAAGCAACGGCGGTGGATGCAGACGTCGAACAAAGAGCACTGGACGGCCATTGCTTGCGTCACCCAGCTACGGTACGGTCCAAATGTTCCCAAGCTCCGACCACCAAGCCTCTCTTCCACAATCCTGCACTGCAATCCAGAGGCAGCTCGCCCGGCAGTCCGTTTTCCCCACATCCTCTCCTCGGTCTGCATTCATCACTACTGACGAGACTGTAACAACCATGCAGGTGCTCTGCGCAACGTTCCCCGTTCGTCCCCGCTCCGCCAATGAAAGCGCAAGGGTCGATCACACCCTCAGTTCCATCATAAGAACTGCCCAAGCGTGACAGAGCTCCTCGACAACTGGTGTTCCCGACCGAATGGATTATCTGTATTTACCTAAATCCATAGTCCCCCAGATCTTCTTTGCGCCCGTTCGTTTGCGCCTTGACGCGGTAATTTAACGCAAACTTGGTGCCCGTCGTAACGCCTCCGCAAACAGCCCCCGGCCTCTTCCCAGTCACTCTGCTCAGGATCGCACCGCCGGCAGCTGTAGGACTTACTTTTTCAGAATCCTCTCCAATTGTCTTGGCAGTCGATAGTTTGTATTAGCACAACCTCGCGCCAGCGACCTCCTCGTCAACCCTGGGCCTCCAAGGCAGTCGAGATCATGAAGTTCGGACAGAATTTGCCCCGGAACCAAGTACCAGAATGGGCGTCCTCATATATCAACTATAAGGGCCTGAAGAAGCTTATCAAGACAGCATCCGAAGCTGTCAAGAATGGCTCGGATCCTGACCTTGCAGGCAAGTCGAACACCGAATATGATTTTGAAATTGTTCACCCAGCTAATGAGTAGCTTTAGCATTCTTCTTCTCGCTCGATCGGAACCTAGAAGATGTTGACCATTTCTACAACAAAAAATACGCTGAGTCAGCCAGGCGCATCAAGCTCCTCCACGATCGCTATGGACAGGCGGCCCAGACTTCAGAAGGCATCGATAAAGATGAGGCACAAGACCTTATGGGCGCCTTACTTGAGCTGCGTAGTCAGCTTAGAAAATTACAATGGTATGGCGAAGTCAACCGAAGGGGCTTTGTAAAAATCACGAAGAAACTTGACAAAAAGATTCTCCAAGCGAGCACACAACAGCGCTATCTAGCTTCCAAAGTCGACCCAAAACCATTTGCACACAATACTAGGTTAACGCAAGACATGCGTGCAATCAATGAGTGGTTGTCCAATCTAGGAGACGCGAAAACTTTCGACGATAGCGGATCAACGAATTCCGCAGCATCGTTAGGAAGAGTCCCTGGACGAACGTTAAACTTTCCCTCGGGTCTGCTCGATACTGTGGATAATGCAATTCGCAATGACGATGCTGCAGCTCTCTCTAATTCTCTGTCAGAAGCCTCTACCAACACTCACAAATCTAGCACTTCGTTTCAGCAACTTCTCCTCAATTTCCTCCAGCGCTCTATCTCATGCAAAGCCAGGGCGTGCATTGATCGCCTGCTACCAGATATCATTTCTCTTGAAGAAGCAGACGACATTAACAAACGAAACTGTATTCATCGCTTGGTGATCAACATTGGCCGTTCCAAGACTCGGGAACTCTCCGGGACGGATGGCTCCCCCGTACAAAGCGCAACTGACCCTTCCCATGTCCTCCTTCCGGCATCCTTGCCGCAGCGGCTTCCACCGCCATGTACAACGACAGAGATTGAATCAAGCAAGTTATTGAGCCAAAATGATGAATCTGTGCGTTTGTTAATCTACCTTTTGGATAAACTCCAACCGCATCAACGGGACACTCTTATTTCACGCGACTCATATGGCCGCTTGCCTCTCCATTATGCCGCTCAGTATGGCTTCGTGGTCATCTGTCAGATTGTCATAAAGCACATGCAAGATTGGGGCCAGTTTGACGTAACGCAAGGGATCGATTCCCACTACTGGCAAGACGCCGAAGGCTACGCGCCTCTTCATCTTAGTGTTGTTGGAGGCCATCCACTCACTACGAAAGCATTGCTTGAAGCGGAAAATTGGCTTGGGGAGAACAACGAGAAGCTAAACAATAGAAAAACCATTTCCAAATCTGGTGTGGTCCTCGCCCTTGCTACGCAGTCAAATTTCGTTGCAATCGTCCGACTTTTGGTCGAGGCAGGTGTTGATGTAAACTATCAAGATGAACAAGGGGAAACGGCTCTACACATCGCCGCTCGGTTCGGGCATGACGAATGCGCCAAAGCCTTGCTCGAGGGATCGGTTCATAACAAGATCAAGGTCGACGTGCCAGAGAAGACATTTGCATGGACTCCTCTGTTTGTCGCTTGCGTGGATGGCCATCTTTCGGTTGTTGAGCTCCTAATTGCGGCAGGTGCCGACCTCGAACGTTATGATCTCTCGGGCTGGACATCTAAGGAGCATGCGGCGCTTCGAGGACATATGGACATTGTGGATAGGCTCGCAGAGATTACACCAGTTGCGAAGCCCCAAAATGTAGAAACGCTGTTAGCTCGCCCAAAAGCCTCGTCTCAGTCATCGTCACTTGACGAGCGCAGGTCCAAGACTTTATCAAGGGAAAACTCAACGATCCAGCGGGCCCCGGAACCCATGAAATCTTTCGGGCACCGTTATCTTACCAAAGAAACGATGGTATTAGTTAGTCTCGGTTCGATGGACACAACGAAAAATATCCCCGCAGTTCAGCTTGACGATATCTCATTGGCAGACGCGCATGCAACCCAGCTAGACACCGCTCTCTCTGTGGTGGTTTCAGCCTCTGGCGCGACCGGCGAGCCCACTGTCATTGATTTGCCTGTACAAGACAACATATGCACAGAGCCGATAACCTTTATGACAATGGATGCAACCAAAGCCAAACTCCTCTTTGATATTGTGCCTACCTACGCAGGCTCAAAAGAACGCATAGTTGGGCGTGGGGTAGCACTACTCTCAAGCATCAAACCAAGTGTCGGCTCAAAGCGGATTACCCTGCAAGGCGATGTAAAGGTCCCGATCATAGCGGCGACGAGTACGTTGGACGTCATTGGCTCTGTCAACTTCAACTTTCTTGTCATCACCCCTTTCTCCCATCCAAACATGTCTATTACGGAGCAGCATACGTATTGGAAGAAAATGGCCTCAACAATGGTTATAGGACATCGAGGTGATTCTAAAGTGGTTCCTTACGCCCTTGTGGTATCCTAACACATGTGAAGGTCTGGGGAAGAACGTTGCCTCGCGGAAGTCTCTCCAGCTCGGGGAAAACACCATAGGGGTAGGTATCCCAACTAATATTTAACCATAACCTTTTCTAACCTCACGAAGTCGTTTATTGCCGCAGCAAACCTCGGTGCTTCATATGTGGAAGTAAGTTTTCCCTCCCCAATTACTGACATCGTTGCTAATATGCAATCAGTTTGGTATGCCACGCAATGCTCATAAGTTGTTCTTCCACTAACCCAAATTCAGATGTGCAACTGACCAAAGATCACGTTCCTGTCATTTACCATGACTTTCTAGTCAGCGAGACAGGTATCGATGCCCCGGTTCATACCTTGACCTTAGAACAGGTAAATATCAATATACAAATCTTTTTACATTATGTTCTCACATCCGCTCAGTTTCTGCATGTAAGTGAAGGGCAGACGCCTAGGGAGTCTAGGCCTACATCTCCTGCCGAGAACAAGATCATAAATGCCTCCAATGACAAACAACTACCCAGGCGCCCACGCTCATATTCTATGGACATGTCAAAACAGAAAACTGCGCATGCAACCCACACTTCGGAGCTGGCCGAACGGATGAAGCATACTCGTGACTTCAAGATGAAAGGGTACAAAGGCAATAGTAGAGGGAATTTTATCCAGGAGCCATTCACCACATTGGCAGACATGTTCAAGAAACTTCCCGAGTCTGTTGGATTTAACATTGAAATGAGTATGTACCCACCCTCTTCGCAACTACTCCACTGACTGATTATTCTCAGAATATCCTATGCTCCACGAATCCATAGAGCATGAAATGGATCAGTATGCCGTTGAACTCAATTCCTTCGTGGACACAGTACTCAAGATGGTCTACGACCTTGGCGGCGAGCGAAACATTATATTTTCCTCCTTCAATCCGGACATCTGCCTCATGCTTTCGTTCAAGCAACCATCGATCCCTGTTCTCTTCCTAACAGATGCGGGAACAAGCCCAGTGGGTGATGTACGGGCAGCTAGCTTGCAAGAGGCAATTCGCTTCGCAAGCAGATGGAATCTACTTGGTATTGTGAGCGCAGCGGAACCGCTAGTCAAATGCCCAAGATTAGTTAAGGTCGTCAAAGAGAGCGGCCTAGTCTGCGTGAGTTATGGGACGCTCAACAATGACCCGAAGAACGTCCAGGTATGTATATTCACATGGTTTAATTCACCTTGCGCTAACTAAATCACTATCTACAGCTTCAAGTCAAAGAGGGCATTGACGCAGTCATTGTCGACTCCGTACTCAAGATTCGAAAAGGACTCACTGAATCTGACGCCAGTGATACCGCAAGTACAACCAGTGCACCGGAAAATAGCAACGATATTACAACTCAAGACGTCAAAAATCGCCTCGTGGCTGATACGGTCAATGGAGTCCCAATTTATGCCGATAGCGCTGCTGGGAATGGAATCGGTGCGATATTCGGTTGAAGGAATAGAATTGTAGCTTCTAGAAGGGTGGAATGTGCTCTCTGGTATCCGTGGGTAATATTGGATGGATCAGAAGGAGATCCCACGTTCAGGCAAGGATGTCGTCCGTCAACCTCAGCATAGACTTTCTCCGTAGCTAATTTTATAATGATCTTACAGAGAGGTCTCTCAACAGGCCTCCCATATATTATCTAGGTCATGATTTACTACAACATATATATAATGCTTGACCAATTGGGTGAAAGAAGGACGGACCATGGCCAATTTTCACGAAAAGAAGAAAAACCCGTAGTCCATCCGCAAAGGCAAAAAAAGAGACATAACCCCCAAATGCATGCTCCCTATCAGACTCGAACTAATGACCTCAGCATCTCGCATAACGATAAGAATATATATATATATATATACTAGTGCTGCGCTCTACCAACTGAGCTAAAGGAGCTACGAAGAAGAGGTCCTGCCCGGAATCGAACCGGGGTTGCCGGAAAACATTCAGTTACTTCTAATGCTTTATCAGAACCCGGAGTGATGACCGCTACACTACAGAACCTGTTGACCGGAACCAGATCTCATTTACGATTATGTAAGGAGCTAGTCGATTTTTGGATTTATATCTTGATGTGGAGGGGTTTGTTCTAGGGACGGACAAGTTGTATGTGGATTTGGAATTTTCGTGATAGTGGGTGGGTCGGTGGGTTTACTTTGGGGCGCTAGACCTGGGTGGAGTGGGGTGGTGCGTAGCGAGGTGCTTGAGGTGTTGTGGAGGACTAGCTACGTGGATTTGATTATATGATTAGCCACTAGATGGGATATATTTCTCCTATTGCGAGATCACGGTGATGTCGCTTCTACGATATTCGATGTTTTGCTGCTATCGTAGGATCTAACTATACTTTAGGATCCCTAGTAGAAGTTATCGTATTGTACGTGTTCAAGGTTATAATACCTTCTTATCAAGTTTAGATGGCTAAGTGTTTAGATAGGGAGACTAAATGCGACGTAGGATACTCAGAGAAGCTAGTGTATATGGCTCTGCTGGAGAGATGCCGTAGCTGTTCAATAACGGATAAGCCAGTGGAAATAGTAATAAACTAGACTGTTCGAACCAAGATCCGCGGAAGTATACTCATTAGTGCATACATCTAATGCCTCCTTAGACGGACCATTCTCAAGGATATACGCATCTGAACTGCAATTCCTCAAGTATTGTCCCCACCATATCCGCCAAAATCAATATCGGCAGGAGTATTGTCCTTAATATCGCCGTCGAGTATCATCGTATACATGGCGTTATTCAATCCATCATCAATACCACGTTCTTCCTCAGAGTCCTGGATGATTCTCAGTAGCTCGACTTTGTGATCGGGATCTGGAATAGGCGGGAGATTAAGGATTAGTAGCCTGCTTATTGCGTGATTCTGGAATGCGATACTACTGGATGACGTTGTTGGTGGTGGGCCGCTAGCAGCATCCGCCGTTGTGATTATCTGAGTTAGTTAGTTTCGCAATCAGGGCCGGGTCCCATCCGGGGTCGCCCACTTCCGGCTACGTCAGCTTGCCATTATCTTCAATAGGCATCTCCTCGTGTGAGAGAATATCTTTGTAACATCCCTCTCTACGTGGCCAGACACCATCCGTGCCGAGACAAATGAGGGGTACCCTGACTTTTGGCAGATCAAGACCTGTGCGGACAATAGACATTACTACAGTGTCGTGTAAGTCGTGTACTGTAGCCAATTTTGAATGTCTCTAATCCGTCTTACCCGAAAATAACGTTCGTATTATCGTCTTCCGCGTTTGATTTAAAAAGTGCTCTCTTTCGTAGTGAAATAGACTTCCCTGTTTATGGCACTATCTCTCGGTCCTTAACACCCCAAATACTCGTAAAAGGGCCTTATCTCAGCCTCAGGACCTCATTCCGATTCCTAGAAGTTCATCATCAGTCTTGTGTCTGCTGTGAAGCGCAACTTTATGCTGGGTCGCTACACCGATCTGTACCTCTAGCAGAAGCGATTACCTGTCCTTGCTAGTCTAAAAAAATACGCAATCATCACATTATAATCTATTTACAGCAGCCGCTAAGTAAGCCTGTAGCTGTTACGCCTGTAGCTGTGGTGGTCTTAGTAAGCGGACTGACCTTAAGTTAGCCCTGCCGCTTTACAATCCGACTCAGCCTTAGGTATACCTACAGTCAACCAACAATCGCCGCATTACAAGGGTGTGGCCAGTGCAGTTCGGCTGTCCTCTCTGCTAGCAGTGGCAACGTCCAGTACCAACTCATGTACACTATTGTCGTGTACTGTTTGTAAGCAAGCTTTTTGCACTGCTATCATCTTGCTGCTTTAACCAAGCTACATGAACTTAAAGCGATCTTACACAGGAATAGATAAGACACATTCGTAAAATACCGGATTTGTCTTGCCGGTCATCGTGCAATCGATTAAAATCGTCTTGTCCGGGAATACGCGTACGTTGGCAAGGTAAGCCAGTTCCGAAGGATTCGGCCTAGAGGCGTTGAGAAAGTTCTTAGTTGAAGATCCGACGGTCAGGATGTCAACGACCCTACCTTCATCTAAAAGGATAAGACGCGGATTTACAAAAAGGTGGAAGAAGAGCTGGTTTGGCCCTTCAAAGTCCTAACTGGAGGAGGCGATCGATGGGTGGTATTCGTCAAAGCATTTCACCACAGGAGTTATGATCAGGGAAGGATATGGCGCGTTTGGAAAGGCTGGTTTGAGAAGTTTCTTTGTATCTGATTTTGACCAGACAATCAGGTGCTTGAGGGGTGAGACTGCTTTGAATGCATCCGGGCCGAAGCATCTGTTGTGGAGTTCTTTGAAGCATGCGGAGGTGTGTGGAGCGGGGTCTAATTATTGAGATGTAAAGATATATGGCTTTTGTTGGTGCTGTGCTATTCTGCGTTGGCATTCGCATTGGTTGGCGCTGCAAAATTCAATTTCCAGAACGCGGCCTTCTGCATTGAAAATTATGATGAAAAACATTAGTGAATTATCAATAAGGAGCGCCCGCCTCCATGATACATTCTACTTATTGCATAAAAACTCCGTATTCATGGCATCTTCCAAGCCGTATGTTCTTAGGATAACGGAGTGACAAAGCAAAAGACAGCATTTTGTCGACAGTGTTCTCCCAAAAGACCAAGATTCCACCATTAATCATCATCTAGAACTCCATAGGTCGCCCTTTCCCATATATCAAGGTTTGCGATGTCGGGGGTGGTGGCATCAGGTTGTGTCGCCAAGGAGAAGCAGTTAAAGTTGCCACAGATACGGTGTGGTTGCAGCAAATCTTGCTTAACATATCCGACCGATAGAGACTCTCCTCGATCAAGTTGGCTTCGTAGTTCCTCCATAGAGAAATTTTGAGAAACCCAGTCCATACCATCATCCAGACGGCGGTACGTCAGCAGCTCTGCTTGCACGGACGCCCAGAGCGTGGCAAGATCTCTCCGTGCGCGGAAATAGCACACTAAGCTATTAATATCACAATCTTGACCATTTTCCATAGATACGTCGTCCCATTCGCCTTCTAACTCCGAATCGATGTCCTCACAAAGACGCAGAACCCCACAAAACACAACCCACCCTGACCGAGCTTTTGCACTCCAAGAACTAACAGTGGGATAGGTAGAGATTTTCTCCGCGAGTTTGGCAGGAGTGAGGTCCTCATGGTCGCATCTGATCTCGGGGGCATCAGTCTGCACGAAAGCAATAACTGAAACGCTTGCGGTTTCTCGAGGATCGAGACCACATGAGATAAGGCACAGAAGACATGCAAGCATACCAGACAGATCCTCATCTTGACAACCACTACTTGCGAGATGATACGCAGTCATGACGAGGCTATGGAGAGGTTGTAGTTGTAGTTTCATACCGCAGTCAAAACAACGTCGGACGTAAAGTCCACTCGCAGTCCCCATCAGGCAGCCAGGTCCCCAATTATACATACGAATGATGCAGTGGCATATCGTTTGGATGGAAGTATGACAGAACTTGTGTTTCCAAGCGAATGGCGTCGAAGGGTTACCCTTTGCGAGAAGATGACGCACACAAAGAGAGTCGGCATCCCAGCGACTACAAATGTCGATCTCTTCCCCGATAAAACGTGCGGTATCTTTTAATGTGTCATCAACAACAACCGGTGTCGTTGAAGAGTGAGATTTTAGGATTGAGATCATTAAATTGTCCAAGATAGTGTGGCCAAGCTCATTCACGAGCATTTCACGAAGTATCGTTCCTAAGCCACATTCCAGGAGTTCACTGAAAATGTCACAGCAAGTTTTGTATCCGTCCAGATAGCTCGTTGCCATGTGAAGCGGATAAAGTGATGTGAAGTCAATGTTTTCACATTTAAGCTGGTGTATGGTTGACGTAACTTGCGTCAGATTTCGACTCATGATGCTGAAGCCGAGTGATTCCAGGAGAAGCTCACCAGGAGATCTCTGAGCTGCTTTTGCAATCTGTGGTATTGCCACGGGCAAAGTTGCTGCAGAGATGGTGCTGAAGTCGTTATGTTCGAGAGCGCCTCGAAGTCGAGTGGGAAGAGGCGGTTCTTGCCAATCCTTCGGCCACGGAAGCCAAGTGGATTCGTCATTGGGATCTTGCTCAATTGGATCTCGGGAAACTTCCTCCTGAATTTCTTCATAATGTGGCCAATCGGGTCGTACATGTATGAACCATCGACAAAGATTCTGTGGCGAGAGGCGAATCTTGTCTCAGGGAGGGAGATGAGGAGCTGAACTGGTTGATTGAGGGTGGCCAGCAGGCCATATTTATGTATATAAGGAAGGGTATATCAGCTGATATCCAGCGTGATTTGATATCGTGCGACGGTAGCTGATACAACCTGCAACCGGATAACTTGCTCCCGTACGGTAGTAGGAAATCGTACTCAGTAGACTCGCCAAATCCCTATCACAGATTCGTTGGCATGGGGTAGTCTCCTGGCTGTTCTTCAGAATGTGGTATTGGATCTCGAGGAGTTCCTGGGAGACTACGATGAGAGTGGGGGTGGAAACGAGAGAAGTCCAGAAGCTTTGCTGTCCAGGCTGATGGCCCTCTACCCCAATTCTTGGCAGTCTTGAAGCAAAAAAACCAGTACTGATATAACCACTCAGACATTACCCTACCCAAGAGTTAGTTCATGCCGTATAATTAGGACCGAAAATCATTCACCGTCTCTCTTCCCCATCCATAGACATGAGCAGCTTATCGTGTTGCCCTTGAGCAAATAGGTGGGCGCGATCGATCGCCGCTCTCCCTTTTAGGAACAATGTGGTCGGGGAAGGTGCGTTTCGGGGGGAAGAAGCTGAAGAAGGAGTAGTAACGGAAATGTCAGTGCCGGGAGTTGGAACTGAGAGCCCGAGAAGAGAAGTATGATCAAAGGGTCGTGCGTGTGATCGGCGCATGGCTGCATATGGCATGTTCCATTTCAAGAAGCTGCGACGATTGTCAGCATTCATACAAGTCGAAGCCACTTTATGGCTCTTACATGCTATTCGCAAATAGCAACACAGACCCAGTAATGACG